ATAGCAAAGATTCCTTATCTTGTACTGATGTTTTGTTCCCTTAATGAGCTTGGTAACATATATGACTGACTGTAACCTCATTACTATATGCAGAACACAATACTTACGTACTTTTTGTACATTTTGTTAAATATAATTCCTACAGGCAATTTGAAGGAAATGTATATATCAAAGTCACTGTATATACACAGTCACAAATTCTTATATTATTATTATAATATTTGTCTTCTTAATTCTATATACGTAATATATAAATATATAAAAGTTTTTGACCACAGAAATATCTTGTTAAACGGTTATTCGGCAGGTTTTTACTCGATGTTTAAATAAATACATTTAATTTGAGCGACATTTAATCCATGGTAGGATTATCCATGATAGGATCCATTCCGGGTGTATTCTATTTCGAAAATAAAAATAAAATTGCTTATTTACATTTTTTTACACAATTGCAATAGCAATTATGCAGGCTGTCATCAGAATGAAAAATGGTAACTATCTCCTGCAGAAATCGATGTCAATGAATATTCACTATTACGATTCAAAAGGTTTTATAAGTAATAAAATAAATTAAGTAATAAAAATGTATACCCAAATCACAAACAAATCAAAATCCATAATACAATATGTGATTTTCACACATTGTAATGTCATAAGATATGCCTAAAGCTTCCTAACGCTGAATTTCGATAATAATATAAATTGAAACACGATTTCTTTTTTGTATGGGTCATATTCACGATTGTTGGTGTAAGTCAGCAAAGTAACAAAAATATGAACAATAATCTTTATTTTAGGCTATAAAATTGGTATCTGTTCTCAAAGTGCCAATTAATTCGAAAATATATGTAATATTAGAAACTATATATTGCTGATCATCTACTATACTTTTCATTACATCATCAGAGGTAGGTTTAAAACATTAAAACAATTAAAAGTTTGCTGCAATAATGAAGCAAAAAAGGGTACAAATTGCTAAAACTTTCACTTTAGAGTGAACAAGGTTTCTTTGTTCGAATGTAAATTGACTAATAAAATTTAGACTTCGTTTATTAGTGAGAAATCCAGCGCTTTATACGGGACATAAAATTAACCATGATTTGCAGCTGTAAGTTTTTTATTAAGAAAATAAATTGTAAATGATTGAAAAAATGCTCATGTTTAGATGAGATTAATATAATGAGAGATAGATCTGTTATCTATGACTGAACTCTAACTCATTAACAAGAAAACTCATTAGAGCGCCCATTTCAATGGTTAGACACTTTCTTTCACGAAAATTATACGTGGTCCATAAAACCAAAAGTTTACTAAATGATTGGGTTTTTATGCATAAAATATAAATGTAAATCCTTTGTTGGTATCATGAAGTCTTGGTCCCATAGATTTTATATTCAGAGTATAAAATAAACTTGGTTATAGAAAATCTGATTTAATATTCAATTCCGTTTCCAATAATTGAATTGGAACTTCTGACTGACTGTACTCAAACTGGAATGGAATTGCATACAACTGCTAGGGAGCTAACTGGCTTTCGGGCCATAATAATAGACATTGAAACTGCTGATGCAGACTTAATGTACTCCTAGGTAGTGTACAAAGGCTGTTTGTCTGTATTAATTGTGTGAAATAACATTGAGTTATTCAGATTTATTACTAACTCATTGTATCTGAGACTTTGTGTTTTGGGTGCATATTTGTAGAAACCATCGATAATATTTAAAAGACAAAGATGAATAAAATGTATACCTACAACGCCATATATTCATTAATGAAATATGTGTGTGAAGTATGTGGTGAATTGAAAATTAATTATTTTATTCTTTTGGAGCTACTTTTCTATACTTTGTCCTGTATTTTATCTCAATGTGTTTACAACATATTTTGGGAAATTATCATCTTAACTTTTCCAGCACATTTGAATCCTATCTATTTATCCGTTGGATGTTTGACGCACTTTTTTATTATACGTGAAGAATATAAAGAATATGTATATTTTATAAATAATTATCCTGTAATACCCTTGTATAATCAAAATGTAATGTATTTAATTTATATCAACAAGTACATCCTCGAACCTTACATTCTAATATCAAGCACTCTAAATTGAATCAATCGACATCAAAGTAACTTTATTATTAATTTATTAAAGTTTCCAATTTTCTTACAAGAAGCCATCAAAATAATACCCTGGAATAACGATGTAATGAAATTGAACATGAAATATTATTGTAGTAGACAGTTATTATTATTGGTAGCGGTGTAGCACAGAATAGTTAATTTAGTAATAGTTTAATATATTTCCGCATTAGTTATAGGAATCATGATATAAAATAATCTATTAAACAAAATTTTTACTATCAACATTAAGCGATTTGTTATAGATTTAAGAGTTTCTGTACGTTTTATTTTAAAGAGTTAAATATTCTGTAGATAATATTGTCTTGAGTACTACAATTAACCGTTATATTTAAAAAGATAATGTAATAACCAAATAGAATTTTCCAAAAGAATATCACAGAATTTATTTATACAATTACTCAGAGTATACTCTAGACTAAAATTCCATGAATAATATATCAGTCTAACTTTCACTCATGTAGGTACTACTATAGGTTAAATATATTTAGGAGCTAAAGAAAGTTTCTAAAAATTGCGACGTGAATCTTTGTTTGTAAAACATACTAAATTTCAATTGATTCAAATATAACTTTTAATTGGAATAATTATCAAAAGTCTGTACAAAGTTGAATGATGTTAAAAATACTACACATTAAATATGGATCCCTATAATTAGATATTAATATTTAAAAAAATATCGCAACACAGTTAAATATAATAGTTACATCCATACAATACAGATTGAAAGTGTAAGATGTACCTCCTTACACTTTCAATCTGCATTTTCTTATGAAGGTAAAATCGCTACCCATTTCATATAACTGATAGACGCGCTCCGACCCATTAATGGATGTAAATGAAGCAAAGTAAAGGTACAAAAATAACAATTTATCTTTACACCTTTCGCATTATGGGCGCTATAAATAATAAAGACTACATTATATACAAAAACATTCTCTTGTTCTTCTCTCAACAACAAGCAGCTCTAGCTCAATATTTTTGCATGCGCACTTTCCAGAAATGATGTCTAATTTATCAAAAACAGAATACCATGTTGATGAATTTTCGTTAAAAAGTCATGGAAGACAATTATGTTCCGTCAAATTAAATGTGGTCACAATCTTGTAAAATATTAAAAGTAATTTGACGGAATCTGTTGATTTTTTGAATAATGTTTGGATATCTTTATTTTAAAGTCCCAAAGTGACAGAAAACGGGATATTAGATTTTAGTATTTGAAATAAAGATATTGTAAATTTAAAGATGAGAAACGTTTTGATTACTTTAAACCGCAATATTCTCATAATTTGTAAAGATATATAAGAAAAAATTAAACAGTCGATTACGTTGTGAAATTTCAATTTCATTATACATTTACTTTGGTGCTAAATAACAAAGTAAGTTTATTATACCCACAACCTGTAGAGATCTTTGTGAAAATAAATAGGAGAAATCTGGTTTACTTAATAAAGTTAATTTTTAATTTAATTCTGTCTCTTGTTATTACTCTGTTTATTAGATTTGATTGTGGTTATTTAATTTATTTTTCTCTTTGTAGGGAAATGACCTATTTACCTACTTTTTTCTTAAGTACGGAATGCAATTTTATTAAGAGGCTGTTATTAATAATAATTCTACAAAGCAATATTTACATTGGGTGCTTCATAATAAGTAGCATAAAACTTTTTGTAATCTATAATTAGACTAAAATTTATATAAAATAGATCTTTAAAAATTGGAGATAGAAGTGCTCTTAAAGAAACTTTTTAGACTTATATATTTAAACAGGTAATTCTAAGAACCACTTACTAATTTTTAAGTAAGTAAAAGCCAGTTTAAGTTTTCGTCTTGACTAGTCTAAGCTATAAGGAATGTAAGCAGAATGTGACCTCCACCTGCCATGTCTCAAGTCCGTAACACGTAGCCCCTGGATCGATACGCCGCTGCTCTAAAATTATCCAATACTTATAGTGTAGTGCCGAGTACAGTCAATATGACGAATTGGTAAATAGCTATAGTTTAACATTCTGTTCCATTTAAAGAATTTTGACTTCCGTCCGTAACGGAATTAATAAATATGCCTCTCGAGAATGGTTGTTACTTTAAAACAAATAATACACGCAATGAAAATATGTGTATGAAATATATTGGCCGTATAAAAATATCTAGTATAAAATGCACAAGGTCTATACGAGAAGTCGCCGCGGCGTCGGCAGAATATCCGAAAAGCTTCAATATATTTAAATGTCAATTTACAATTAAGTAATGTAAATGTTAAATACAGAATAAAATTGTGTACAGTCAGTATATATAAATAAATTGACTGAGTAGGTGACATGTGTTGCCTCGATGCAGGCGTTTTCCCTGTACTATCTTCTTGAATCGCATCTTGGGTGGTTATCTTGGATTGAAAATATGTAGTATAATTACAAGAAGAGTATGTAATGTCTTCGAGTTTCCATTAAAAATATGAATATTTATATCAAAACAAAAGGAAAAAGTGCAGAGCTTATTTTATATTCTATGCTTTATTACCCATTATTACCCATAGTACTCGTAAATTTGGGAACTAAACCGTATAATTTGGGATAGAGGTCACTATACTGCTATATTTCCAAGGTTAGTTAGTTTAGGCTTAGGTAATTCAGCATTTATATAATATAAACAAAGCTATTTTACAAGTGTTCCTTCTGCTAATTTTAGCACGAAATGCTAATGAAAGGTATACATCGTCGTACTTTTGTTGTTTTGATTTCGAATTAAACTACCTGTAGGTATTAAGTACATAGGGTTCACCGACGTCTTGATCGGTCACTATCCAAGGCGAACTGGACATCCATTACTAATGTATATAAGTAAGCAAACGGGCGCACAATCACTGGCGGACATGAACGGAGATGGTCGATCAAATGATTACGGATCACAAAGGGGACTCGACAGTCACACTATATGCGCAGAAGCTGTTATTGATAGTGAAATTATAAAAACAATACGCAAACGGTTGTGCTGCGGTGTTTTTACCAATAATGGATATTTTCAAGCGGATTGATTGTTGTATTTGTGAAAAGTGTATGTGGTATTCGATTTAGTGTAGTATACATAGGAAAAAATAAGTTTCTATACTACGATTATATTGTTGTTTGTGTATATTGTAAAAGATTTTTTGTGTCGCAGAGACGTAACGACATAAAGGTGCGTACGTATTTACATTTTAATAAGTATTCTTAAGAAGTATAATTCATACACCATACAAGAACTCTGCGGCTTGGCACCGCACGCTTAGTAATGCTTAGTATCTACTACGTATATATCTACGTAGGGCACGTTTATATATATCTTTTTAAAAATCAGCTATGATAAACTATAACCTAAGATATTGAGTTACATAAGTAGGAACAATTATTTATTTATACACGTACAATGTTGGAGAATTGTGAACCATTTTAAGTCAGTTAAAAAAGTAATGTAGCTAACATTTTGACGCAAGAACGTAGCGTGATTTACCTGAAGTTGAAACCGTAAAGTGGAGGGTTTACCCCTGTCGAGCGACTTCAATTAAATTTTCGAGCGAGAAGTCGCGAGTTTTCTCTACATAGGCGCACTATTGCGTATGTAAGTGTTTATCTAGCTATGAATAGGTATGTACGTATATTGAACTTCCTATTTTGTAGATTATTCTTAGACAAATAAAATACTTTTTATATGATTTGGTAGTAAAATATATCCTCTATTATTGAAGGAGGCAGGTGCGGAAAATGTAGTTACCTTGGATTCCGTGCTACATTTCAACTGCTACGACAAGAGGTTTTACATAAATTACAATATTGAACAGAATTTCAGACATTTAAAATAACTACTTATATGTTTATATTCAACACGTAATAGTGAAATATATTTTTACTATCTATGATTAATAAATCTGATAATTAAATGTTGAACTATGTCCTGGATTTACTCTATGTTTTAAAGTTATCACTATTTTATTATGAAAAATGTTTATTGGCAGTTCATAGTTCTTCGTACACGATGTGTTACAATTTCAACATTAAAGGTTAAACATTAAATAATTTTTTAACCACTAATGGTGAAATTTAATTCATTAATCTTTGGCACTTTTAAATTAATAAACACATGGCTGCATTTTATATAATTTACAACTCAATCTTCCCTCGGAAATGACAAATTCCGAGCGTTCCGCGAGATTTAAATATTAGGTCACAGCACTACTAATATGTAAAATAGCATATAAAAATTATAAATTTAATGTTTCTAAACAGAATACTCAATGTAGGAATGGTATAATCTGATTCATCTTGCAAATAAGTAGGAATGTATAAATACGCGAATTTACACGCCGAACATACACAAATATAATTTGTGTAGGATGTGTTTTATTACTGTAAAAATTTGATATTACTTTTGCTTCCATGAACTAAGATTTTGATACCATTATAACATTTGTTTAAATAAGTACGTACGATTTTGAACACAACTTCTACTACTAAATGTTGAAATTTAAATGGGAAATATTTTTGTACATATAAAAGTCTATTAGCCTCTTTTGCATATTACAGGTAATACCTTATTCGATACTAGCTGGTATTCTTCAGTTTTCGCCTCAAGACAGTATACGAATTTACAGAGTTATGCAACTTTAAATGAGAATAACTTTGTCACCCGTTGGACAGTTAAAAATTAAGAGTTTTTTGTACGAAAAATAATCAAGTGTCCTTAAAAAGCTTTTAACATTACTTGTATTTCAGAAGAAGGCTCTTCAAGCCCGTATAATCGAATTGGAGTATTTTAAATTTCCCTAAGGACGGTAAAGTGTTTTCTTGATTTAATTTAATTTCTGAAATCAAAGCAACTGTTTCCATAACTATTTAGTTAAATGTATACCAAACTATGAAGAAACAGAATAGATAAAATTAGACAAGATTTAATTGATTTTTTTATTATATTTTGATGCTTCATTTATTAAACTATAATTAATTTTATCTTTTAACTTTATCACTTTTTGATTTTCTTTATATACATATTAACAGCGCCTAAAAGAAGAATTTTGCATATTCTATTAAATGTATTGGTATTGAATTTTCAGCAATGTTTTGGCTTATTCCACTTATCATAGTGACATATTTGCATACTACTATATTGTATGTTCTATATTACTATATATAATCACTCTACTACATTTTATGTATTACAAAGATGTAAAAGTTAGTAACTTTAACACAATTTTTGTAAAGTTTCTATCAATCCCCATCGAGATAGATCAAAGATCAAATGGCAATGTCCTTGTATATAAAACGCAATACCCTTGACAAATCCCTGAGCTTTGCTAACAAACTCCAGCCTAAACTGGATTAACGGTAAATTCGTAAATAGAGGTATATATACCTGGTTTTATTAGAGACCATTGCATAAAATTGTAATTCAATTATTGATTTAAGATAGGCTTTTAAGAGTTTCATCTACTATATAAAAGTGATTATTTTATGATGTATACTATATTTACAAAATGTTGGATAATTGCTTATGTAATAAGTATAACATGTAAATATGCTTGCCTGGACCTAACTTTTTATATTATATAATAATAAGAAAAAGGTTAGTCGACATCACAGGAGACCGAAGAGCTGGCAGCTACACAGAATTCGTAAACAGAAATCGGACAAAGAATTATCATAGCCATTCAAAGGGGGAACGCTGCCAGTATCTTCGATACCTTCGTTTCTTTTTATAATATATTCTAGTTTTTATTAATTCAAATTTTTTATGTTTTTAGTTTTAGTTTAATTCAATAATGCACTTTCGTTTATAATGTTGAATTATTTATAATAATAATTATTAATTTATTAACTACTATAATAGATATAATTATTCCTATATAACCTATAATTTATTAAAGTACATATAAAAGTCATCTGTGTCGGTTCCACTGTCTATTTTATCTGCCAAGTAGCTTGCTTTTTAAGCAGTGTTTCAAATGACGCACGAGATAAGGCATTAAAATGACTGGATCAGAGGCCTGACATCTTAGTCCTCCGGAAGAATTATCTAAGCACGAGCTGTATCGTGTGCGTCACGTGATAATATGATATCCGTAATGCTGTTCTTGTATATGTATATTACGTTTACCATTGGTAAAACCGTCTACTTGTTTGCCATTTTGGTTACTTTGAATAATATAATAAGCAGATAAGAAAAAAAACCATATAGCTATCTATCAATATATATATAACGTATTCGTAGTTACTGGATATCATTAAATGTAGGTACCGTGCTGCTTGTGATATTCCCCAGAAATTGTATTCCCTGAGGAATATGATTAATGAGAAGTAATGTTTCGATTCTAGCTCAGTAAAGTCACAAAATCTTTTCTATGTGTAGAATAATAGAGAACAAAAGAATATGCTTATAGTCCCTGTTCAATAGAGAAAAATAATTACATTGTTATTGGATTAGGGCAACCTGAAAACTTGTAATATAGGTACAATCGGTTAGTCGATTGTACCTATTTTACAAGTTTTAAGTGTTATCGAACTTTTGTTATTAAAACTCTGAAAGGTTTTTAAATTATTTGTCAATTTCATAATATCTATAAGAAAAGTAAAAAAAATATTTACATAAGATATAAAAGTAAAAAAAAAATTACAATCTTTTACCTTCCTCATTCATGGTTTACCACGTAACCCGAATATTAACGGTTGTGGTACACTTTAAATAAATGAAATTCGCCATTTAGAACAATAGTATTTTAGTTGGTTAGTAAAGTATCATAAATATTAAAATATCATGAAATACTAAGATAGATACCGATTATACCTTATCTATAATATACTCGTAATATAAACTACATTATAATAAAATCGCTCTCTGTAATGTTTATAAATAGTAAATATATCATATAGTATTATTGAAGTATTATTAGAATACAATAAAAAAAAATACAAAAACGTTGTTTCAATGATAACATTGTTATATTTTTTTGTGATATATGAAATAACTTGACATTACTATGAACTTCTTTAAAAATATGTTGATAACACTATAAGATAATAATCTTTTCTGTGATAATACTCAATCATGCGTATTCCTTTGGCAGGGTGGCTCGCGGATCCTTGAACATGACCTAATGCCCCATGACAACGGCACACCCGTACTCACGCCATAATCGCTCGCCGACCTGACACGCACAAACACATGTGAGTATTCTATTTATAGTACCAGATATGTAACACGATATACAAATCAGGATTTGTATCGAATACGGTCTCGGTGGTCTAGCAGTTAAACACACTTATTTCCGATCGCAGGTTCGTTCCCAAAATCTATTTTGTATTGGTTTTGGTGTTTTGTTTGTATATTATATATTTATAAAATAATTTATTTTAGTATTTCTATCACTTGTCTATAACACATATTACTCTCAATTTACTTGGGACAAGATGGAGCACGGTGAACTGCCAAGGGTTGTTTATTTGATTGAATATTAAAACAACAGATAGTACACCACCGCCAAGTGTAATTTAATTTTAGATATAATGAATTCAATTTGTAACTTTAATAATTGGAAAAGTTTTTCTGTTCGATTAATTTGCATTATACATTAGTAAGGATAATATAAGGTATACTCTATATTTTTCATAACGTGCCTATACAATGTAGTTACAATACTAGGTAATTAATCTAAATTTATGAGCTAAGTATTAAACGATCCTCTGTGTAAACGGATTGTTATAAATTTGCGACAAAATGTTAGCTAAGCAAATTAAGTAAACAGGGGATAATAAAACGTGGGCTAACATTGAGTTGAAATTTATTACGTTTTTAATAGATTGTCAGACCCTTTCTCATTTTATTACGCTGAGTTTGTAAAGATTCAAGCAATCAAGAATTTTATAGTCTGTTCTGTTAACCAACTTCTGAATACTTGAGTACTTATTTAAAAGTATTTTAATAAATATATATTAATTAAATTCAACAACAGAAATAAGTATTTAAAATAAAATATTTATACCTACATTTTATATACATGTTGTAAAGGGTTCTTGACTAGGTGTATCATGTTACAAGTTATAAAAGATATCTGTTACGAAAGTATTTTGGCACTTGTTTCTTTTTGTCTACTTCTTAAGAGTCCTAGTGTGGAGGTAAATAGTAGATTTTTTCTTTTATAAAACAAATTTTTACTGCTAGGTCCACAATGTTGCCGCGTTGGTTGTTAGTATGCTGCGTAGTGCTATGCGCGCGACCGGCATACCCTCAGGGCGCGCAACAGTGCCCAGCTCCGAACACCATCACCCCATGCAGTTGTACCGTCAAAAAGAATGGGCTCGACATACTGTGCGAGTTCACCGAACAGCAACATATTCAAAAGGTAATTAGCTTAATTTTGTCATACTGACTGTTTTAACAGCGTAATGTGAAGTTGTGTAAGCCACGGAAAAGAACTTTGAGTTTAGCAAATACGGTGACTCTCACGTCTATTATGTACCTACTTACAATTGTGTTGGACAAACTAAGAAGTAATCGCTCTATATTAAATGTACCTGTATGACTTATATTTCTGTAATATATCGCGTGGATTGAAGGCATCTACACTCCCCCCTTATTTCTATGGCGATATCAGGGCAATGCTGGGGAGTGCCCTAATTCGCTTCCTAGATCGCTTTGTGTAAGTCGTATAGGAAAATTAATAATGATTACGATTTGATAACTAATCTAGGGCACTCTTCAGTACTGCTGAAATGTAGGCACCGAATTTAGGACTCAGAAATCTATAATCATTCCACCATTCCCCGTGATGAACAAAATAAACAACAAAATATTCCGTTGTTTTCATTATTAGAGGCGTAGATTGTATTTTAGTTTAATTCTTTTTCTGAATTTCAAATAAAATGTATTTTAAATTAGGTAACAAATTATATGTAAAAATTTTGTCTGTGGTATCCAGAAAAGAGATTTAAAAGTGTCAATAAAAGAGAGTGTGCTGAATTTCAAAGACCGACTTTGCCATTAGCACATGTGTAAATAGTATATGTTACGTTTAATTATATCGTTTATTAGCTTGTAGCAGAATTCCACATTAATCTTGGAGAACGGAATGCACTACCGGATAAAACGAGCTTTGTAACTCGTTTCAACATTTGTCCTCTTCATTAATCGTTCTTTTTTTATCAAAAACGAATTCTTAGTCATTTTAAACACAAACGAGAAATAAATTTTAGTACGTAAGTATACTAGTATATATAGTATAAGTACGTATTTAGTTATACGTACTCAGCAAGTTATTAATAGTTTTAGAAATTAAGATCTTGTCATTATATAAGCATTTATTAATCATGCACCGTATATATGACTTTTCGTTTGCATTTATGTGTGTTTGAAAAAAGTTAATTAAGTCTTTATATTACAATAATTAAATTTCGGGAGTATATATTAGGACCTAATTATGTATTAAACATAACAAGTACGTTGCTCAAATATCAGTCCGATAGAATACCACCATAGTTATAGAACTATAATGTTAAAATATAATTGGGTCATATTTAATTACATTACAAGCACGTTCGCTCCACAATTTATTGCATTTTAATTGCCTCTTTACATGCGCAAATTTATATTATAGCCATCATACTTTTATGTTAAATCACATAAGATAAATGAGTTATGATAAGAATTTCAATATTAAACATTTCTGTAATTAAATTATTAATTAAAATCATATTCAATATTCCGATAATCTAGAACGCTTGTGAAATAATTTTAACAAATTGATTGCACGAAGATAAGCCTGAAGGGTGAAAATGGTCTTATCATTAAAATTTTAATAATAAATTGTGGATGATCAAAAGTATTTTTAATAACAAATTTAATATTCCTAGTATCATCAATGTAATTTAAATTGCGATTGTAAGAAAATGTTAAATAACGCATAAGCAAATTAAATACAGTTATGAATCGCCACTCGCTTTTTCTCTTTGTATTTATTATGTCTAGATAGTCTTTCTAAATTAATTTTGACATGTCAATTAGATAAGTAATAGACAAAAAAATATTATTGATTGATATTATTACATATAATATACCTATATACAACATAGAGACAAGCAAATAAAATTAGGTTGAAAAATAGTCTAAACTCAGACATTCTTGAACGAATATTATTTTTTTGTAGTAACTTGTTTTGTTTTAGGCAATGAATACCCTCCGTTCAAAGCCGATGATAATATTCTACCTGAAGTTGAGGCACAATAACCTTGCTAAATTGCCATCTTACATATTCCTGGGATTGGATATCCGACATTTGACAGTACATAACAGTAGTCTTGCTGTTATAGAAGATTCATCTCTCAGTTCTATTGGTAAGTTACAAAGTAATTATAAACAACTAGTTTGTAGATTCTAACTGGTCATGAGCATTACAAAATGTCGTAGATATACTACTGTTCTAATTATATAATTCTGGATGATATCCCCATAAATACAGCTGTACTTATAGATCAGATTAATATTTAGTAAGTAATAATATAGAATAACTAATAACAAATACATAGATAGCTAGCTCCGTTGTTCGACTTTATGTCAATTCCCAATGGATTAGGGTATGATATTGGCTAAAATTTATCCGCCCTTAAATTGTGGAGCAACATAGGCCTATATCGTATAATATATACCTACTTAGAATATTAAAGTAGGTACAAATAATGTATATATATATACTCTGGCAGATCCACTTGTCTCATCCTATTTTTATTGAATAGCAGTCCCACCTACTGAGTACAATTATATTTTTTTAAACTATTCAGAAACCCATTAAAATTTACACACCAAATTTCATCCAATTCGGTCCAGTCCTTTAGAAAGAGCAATATATGAGGACACATAAGAATATTGGTGAATTTGAAGCAAACGATAAATACTTCTTTATTTTAAATGTACTTCAACGAAGACTTTGAGTTCTATGTTCAAAGATTCAAATAATATTTAACGTTGGCTTTGTAATAATTAACATATTTTGCAGGAAACAAATTAACGCAACTTGACGTATCACAAAACAGTTTGGCGACAATACCGACGTCTTCGTTTACTCACCTGAACCACCTCCTCATACTCAACATGAACCATAACAAGGTAATTAAAGTACCAATTAATTTAGCGGCCTGTCGTTGGTTACACTGAAATGTAATTACGCCTCATTAGTTTCCTTTGTCAATTAGTATACTGAAAGTATGTTCATTAAAACATTTTTTATATCAACAATTGTTATAAATATTCACACAGAGAACTGTAGGGCAAACGGAGATTTGTGTAGGCGTTATATTTATAAGTAAATTATAATAATATGATAAATTTACATCATATGTATAAATTATATTAGAATTAAAATTATTTTACGTAATGGCAGGCGTTTCTATATTGTTGATTTAGGATGACCACGTTATACAATAGAAATATTTCACAACCTATGTAACTTTCAAATATTTTACCAAGAACGTGATTTCTGTTCATTCATAAAATGAAAAATCAGGACGATTGAAGGTGCCCTTGCTAGGATGCCCTTTTTTATATACATACCATATGATCTTTTAAATAGCATTTTATTTACTGTATTGAATACTTTACTGAAACTGAATATCACGGTTGCTATAAAACAATACATAATTACTTATATTAAACATAAAAATACCACATATCTGTGAAATTTAACATTTCCATTATGGTTTAAAAATAAAAAAAAATATAGGTATCAAATTCTTTATTAAATTCGATTGAAATACCTATCGCGTTATTATAAAAGTCTTATTCATAATATATTAAATATGTGTTCATAAAAATCATATGTGTTAGTCATGTTTTAAAAATAGTACAATACACTATTTTCTTTATTTTCAATTTAACTAGATGGTATTTTCTACTCCTACAATAATACTCGTTAAACAGCCAGGAAATTTCCATTATTATGAAGGAAATGGTTGGCGTATTATTTTGCAGCGTACGGAAAAATGCCAATTGTTGCATTATTTGTTTTAATAATGAAGAAATTTCTGAGGAAGTAGGTATGAATAAAATAACTGAATATATATTCTATCGTTGTGATTATATTATATGTATCTTCATAAAACAAAATATAAAGATACGTTTCATTTAACTTATTTGTTTGTTTGTAAAGTTAGTTATTATATTTATAATGAACGCGTGTTTCTTTGAAGGTGACTGCAGTGCACAACAGAGCTTTTATGGGTCTAGATACATTGGAAATCCTGACACTGTACGAGAACCGGATATCTGTCGTTGACGGCGAGGCTTTCAAAGGGCTGGAAAAGTAAGCAATTTATTTAATTTTCTACAATTTCATTGCAAACTAACGTTTATTACAAGTCCCAAAAATAGTTGATGTGTATTTTATGTGGCGTATTCAATTGTTCTTTGAGATATTTTAAGATGTTGATTTTCGTTTCGACTTGAGTAATCAAGTTTAAAGTAACTATGATAATATTATAGATTTAAACTAAAATACCTTCCTTGTACTCATATCGAAATATTTTTTTAACATTGATACCAACTTTTACTGTTTTTGTTCCAATATCCTTTCTTATTTTTATATTCATTCATAGTTTTTATTATTAATAATTGGATACTATAAAGTACTTGTTTTATTTTCAAATTTCACATGGAGATTCCTCTTCCGTATTAATTTGATCTGTTTTCATAATGACGACAATTTAGTCGATATTCACCATACAGTAGTATGGTTCGTCAAGGACTCCCTCGACCGACTTAATACGATTAATTAGTATAATTTCAACCCCCCCACCACTTCTCCCCACACCTATCGATCGTCATTACAAACTTCGTCACAGAAATTATAAAGTACGTTATTATATAGCATAATTATTACTAATACTCGTATAGTTTGTAGTTATTATGTTGTTAATTGGAAAATTATAAGTTTTATACGGTATAAAGTTTAGATTTTCAACACATAATTAAAAATAAGTCCAGGGGTGGATTCATTTGCCTCATCCATGTTCAAAAATCTATCCACACAAGGTATTTGGTTAAGAGCAGTTTTAACTTTATCTTTTTCTATATATTATTAAATAAATAATATATTATTAACTTTTTCTATATATATTTAATTATTTTCACCGCGTTTACGGTTTTTTTCTATTGGTCAGATTTGAACTCATAACCTTTCTTTGTAAATGAGGATAGTAACCGCTACGCCACGCCATTATTACAATAAACTGTATACGATAGTATACTAGCAACCCATCTCGATTTCGCACAAGTGTCCTGTATATGTGCATGAATAGTGCATTTATTATATATATACATATATATTCCTTCCGGATCAATCTTTAGAAATTATTACGTAGTTTAGAAGTACGTGGATAAACAGAGAGATTTATAAAACACCTTTTCTTTTTGCTAATAAGATTTTATTTAATAAAATTATAGGGAACTTAACTAATTTTACTAAATCGGATAAGTGGATACAGACATAATATCATAATAATTAATGTAATTATTGCAAAAGTAGTCGAGAAAATGTAAAGTAGTAATATTTAATAACTCTATTCTGCCAGATAACCAGAGACTTACATAGTATGTACAAATAGGTCTATTCTACCGAACGCGTCTAGATAACGAAGTGGAAAGGCTGACTCCAAACATTGAAAATTATTGTAGGGGCGTAACGGAAATACAGACGAATCTTGAAACGACAAAAAATACGAGGATTGTCATTTTGTTTCTTGTATCTATTTGGGTTTTTTATTGAATTGCTAAACGAAAGATGGTGTAATAAAATATAGAAATTATGATTTATCCGAAATTAGGAATAAAATGTTTCTACATTTTTGTTTATAGAACATTTGTATGTGTGATTTGTTCTGACCAAAATACTTATGCGACATACTTATACTTGGCGATATATACAGTGATCTCTCACTCAGAAAATTTATACTGTAATATACAATATATAAAGGTACACGGAAAAATACATTTCATTTTGTACGAAGATACAAGGAATATGTATATAAGAGTAATATTTTCCCCCTACATGATGTATTTCATTTTAAGGAAGTTGAAGCGACTAAATCTTGGTGGAAATGATCTGACAGCCGTACCACAGAAGGCGTTGGCTCTACTTGAGAATTTAAAAAAGCTTGAAATGCAAGAAAATCGTATTGCATCAATTTCGGAAGGTGATTTTGCGGGTTAGTTCACTTGTATTTAATATTATAAGTTTATTTGTGACTTGTAGGTATGTATTTTTACAGTCTCAGTTAATTCTGATTATTTAACATATAAATTTTGTAGTAAACTGTAATAAAATGCGCGTATTAAAATTACTAAATACAGCGATAGTTCTATTGAAACTCGACAATTTTCTTTAAAGCATTACAAAAGTTTTAGTAGCGATATAATTATTCTAGATCTCAAAAAATATTATGATTATGTTTTAAACGAATATGGCTTTGTTTGATGAATGTGATTAATGAAATATTTTTTTTTTATTCTTTCTTCTAAGAAAGGTACAGTTATACAGTGTAGATAGTGTAGCCTCAGAACTTGAAATTTTTCAGTTTACCATATCCAGACATTACAATTTCATGAACACTTTATGTTGTTAGGTTTGCAAATGACATATCATATCCGTTACACATTCTGCCTATATTTATGCCATTCATTTCCATTTATAAAATTAAGTGCAAAATATTGTATTTATAACAGTAATATTATATTAAAACTAGCTGACCCGAACAACTTCGTCTTTGTAATATTTTTCATTACAGTTTCGCTCGTATTGGTCATAGTATGATGTTCTGTAGCCTTTAGCCTATACTAGCCACCGCTTCAAAGTTATCCAACACTTAAAGAACAATCAAAATAGGATCACTGGGTACTGGATTACTATTTTCCCTGAATATTCACATTAATCGCATTTTGTGTTTCAGGTTTGCGTAGCCTAGATTCACTAGGTTTAGCACATAATCAATTGCGTGAAGTACCAGCTCAGGTATTTTCGCATCTCGTATTTTTAAATTCCTTGGAATTAGAAGGCAATCAAATTCAGAGGATTGATGAGAAGGCTTTCGCTGGACTTGAAGGTATGATTTCTTTGGGTTAACAGAGTTTTTTTTTACATATATGAACTACTATTTATTTAAATTCGTGACACTATATAATTCTTTGTAAGTTGTATTTTTAAATGTTTTACTTTTAATAGCATATTTTAAAATAGCAATATCTTGCCAATTATGTTCTTAATGTGCAACAAATCAGATATTATCAACATTTCACGATATGTAGAATAAATATCCTCATGTTATGAACATTATGTTCATATAGTTATTTGATACTATTTATAAATAATAGAGATAGTATAGTCAGAAGCATTGTCAATGGTTTGTAGTCATATTAGCTAACTGTGTGAAACACGTTAAAACAGTCAAGTTACAATCTTCTACGCCGCTTAATTAATAGGATTGATGCAATGCATTGACGAGTGGAAGAGGATATTTCATATACTTAGCAATTAATATGTATTTCTTTAATTCTATTAACTAGAAAATCTGCAATATCTCCGGTTGGGTGACAACAGACTTCATGAGATTCCGTCAGAAGCACTCCGCCCGCTGCACCGTTTGCGTCACTTGGATCTTCGTTCCAACAATATAACATACATAAATGAGGATGCTTTCACTGGATATGGTGACTCCATTACATTTCTCAACATGCAGAAGAACATGTGAGTTGTTATATTTTTATAATATAAAATATTAAAAACTAAATAAACCTGGGCAAGTTTTACACTTTATAGAACTTATAGAACCTAGAGCACTAGACACCCAATCAAATCTTTTTTTCTATAAACATATGTACATGAAGTGAGAAGAACTCTAAAACAAGAGAGCGTTATGAATGAATACATACATAAAATACTCATAACTTCAAAACAACTAGAGCAATTAATATAATGAAAGAAACTCATGACTAATTCGTTGTGTTGAGATCGAACCCATGACCATGAATTGTGAAGCAAATAAGAAAATTATGCAAAAGAAGAAAATCTCTCTATAAACTTTATGCTAACCCCTCTGGCCAGTCATTAGGAGAATTCTGTGTTAGAAGTAGGACGATAATGGATTGTCACAATGAATTGAAAAAGAAATAAAATTATTTCGTCCTATATTTTATCGTCCATCCAAAGTAAAACAGGAATCGAATATTTCAATAGAAAATATAAAATTTAGTCTTTTGATTAATATAATAAATTTCTACCTCATTTCGTTATTAGTTGAAACAATTTAGTCCCTTGATTAATAATCGTGGATTTTCAGCGATTGCTTAGCCAAATTGAGATTTACAATCTTCTTACATGATTGATTAGATCTAAATTACTTTGATAATCGCTTGTTACATTGAACAAAGGCATTGCGTGCTTGCGAACTTTTTCATTCGCATAGCTTACTATTATTATATTTATATATTATTACTAACTTTCCCTTATTTCATACGAGATATTATATGATGATGTGCTTCATACGACTTTTTGTGGGGAACAGGATACATCAGCTGCCAACTATGGGCTTCGATAACCTCAACTCCCTGGAAACGTTGAACTTACAAAACAATAAGCTGCAACATATACCCGAGGAGATAATGGAGCCCATATTGGATACATTACGCGTAGTGGATATAATGGGTAAGTAAATAGGTTGTATACACACAGTTTGTTTGATTCGTACATATTAAAGGTATATTTAGCTATGACATTTTTAATAGACGTCAACGTTTTTATCCCCATGAAATTGTTTGTCATAAACTTGCTTTATTATTTATACACGTATGGTTCAAAGTAACTATAAAAATAAATAATGTACCAATATGCGTAATTTATATTTTTTCTTTATTTAATATCTTTCACAATTTCAATCAATCAGCTTTTTTACTGGTATAATTCCGCAATTATACTTATTCGGAATCCATAAGATGATGAATATATTAAATTTTTGTATCCTTCTAAAGATTACCCATCATATTAGAGACTTAATGGTACAAAGACGTAGAAATTAAGATGCAGCGAATATATAAAATATAAGTACAGTGTAAAATAAATTTCTATTTAGATTATTCACGATGTTGCTTTATAGTTAGTAGGACAAAAAAGAAAAATATTAACCCAAGACTACCGCCAGTGGAGTTTGTTGGATAAAGTAACGAACTAGGAAATTCTAGACTTTTTAATTAGTATTACAAGAAATTGTTTTGGAACCAAGTGATAATTATTTACCTATTCTTAAATGTTGTATAGCATAGCCTTTAAATTAAAATTGATGTGTTACTAGAATCATTTTACATCAAGGTAATCTAAGAATTAAAGATTCAAGACCTATTTGTAGGTAAATATTTTAAACATTTAACTATAAATAGGTCCTAGGACTTCTCAGACATTTTCTTGTACATTCTTTTATTTAATTATTTTGTAAGCTCAACACGTTTAGACCTTACAAAAAAATTAAATAAAAGATTGTACAGGAAATTGCCTGATATTAAAAATAAGTGAAGCCTATTATTATTATATAATACATAGTAAAATATAATAGCTATAGAGCAAATGAGTGATAAAACCTAAACGTATAATAAAACGGGTATATAATCTGAGAAGCGAGCCAACGAGAAAATGAGGCAGACGGAAGCCGGATCAAGGAGATTAGTTTGATATTTTCCGTTTGTGTAGGCTTAATTACCAAATGAATAAAGTTAATAAAGTAATATAACTCTCAATGAAAATAAATATATAAATTAGTAAAGCACGATTTTGATAAATCTATTGTGTTCTACAAAAAAAGAAAAGATTTTGATGACGTAAGTGTACACAATTTTGGTTAACATAGTGTAACTGAGAACTGAAAATATACAAAGTTAATGGCTACTTTAATATGAACTTTGTACATAAAGTGCTTTTGCACACGGATCGTGGCGTAGCTCTAAATGGAAAACAGAGTATAAGTAGTACGAGTTTCGTGTAATCGTGTCATTCCTACTAGGTATGTGATGTTGCATTCTGTAAAATTACGCTTATGCTGCGAGTCGTGGGCGGAGTCACTAATTCTGTGAATGTGTATAGTTAGAAATACAAATTTAATTTTAATGGTTTTACAGATAATCCGTTAATATGTGACTGTGAGCTTGCCTGGTATGAAGCGTGGTTGGCAGGCCTGAGGGACAGAGACGATGAGATGATGCAAAAGAAACGTACTGTTTGTACCATGGTCAGCGAGCACCGAGAATATAGCGTGTCCAAGATGCCTCTAGAGAAAATGAACTGCAAAAGGAAACCGGCGTACGGGCGCACTTCCGTCGCCTCTTATAATTGCCCCGCCATTGTGACGAACACTTTCCTTATCCTCATTGTCAGGTGGCTCTAGATTGTATCCTTTTAACCTAAGTTATTCCCTACTTTGTTCGAGTGAAGACTCATACTCGAACTAGCTGTGGCCGGATGGTTCGACGCGAGGCTTCACGGGTAAGTTATGTTCAAAATTTGGTAACGTGATGAATTTGTGCAATAAAATACGATACATATCAATTTTGGGCTGATTAAAAACAAAATTAGTTGTATTATGGAGCGGTAGCTTGATAAGTAAAGATGGCGGTGTAATATCGAGTAAGTTAGTGATACAGTATTTTTACGAGTTAGACGACCTCTTACGGTATGCCTTACTATAGTGTAATATACCAAGAAGTAGGTAACATGAAATACTTGACACCAGTATGGCATTATTATAATAGGTATCGCTGGAAAAATAATCTTGTTGCAAAGATGGTACTGAACACCACTTCGGAAGCAAACTATAAAGTTTCAACTCGTCTTGATAATTGTGATCTTCACAAAAGAGCTATATTATAACAATCTTGAGCACAATCTTTAGTTTCGTATTTACAAGGCCCTTGGAAATGAAATTTCAATATTTTTTATCGTTTACCCCTGCCTTTACTATAATAATTAAATAAGCTTTTATGCATTTACGATGTTGACTATTAAAGTATTGTATGTATCTTATAAGAGTCGTTTTTATGCTATATTTGTGTATGATGTATACCAATCTATTTATGAACTTTTCTAATATTATTTCAATAGTAAGAAGAATATAATATTTATATCGTTGTTGCATTGTGTTTATTAAGAAATATATTTTAAAAACAATTATTATATTTGCCTAATATTAAAAATAAAACAAACTCATAGGAATGTATTTATCAAGCTTGTTTGAAAGTGTACTTCTTGTTTCAGAATGAAGTTATTTTTTAAGTGCGAAATATTCCATTTTATACGTTTAGAACCCTTCTAATGTTCGATTTGATGTAGTATAGATGTAGGTAGATATTAAGTGTTAGATAAAATTTGTCGAGTTACATGCTGTTAATATGTTGACACTACGTAGATTTCTTGAGTATAAATATTTAAAATAATTATCCCATCTTTATATTATCGCGTCGGAAAATGTTAAGTATAAATATTTTATTATTCCATATTAAGTTATTGAGATCGTTAACATTGCTTAGTTAGCAAATAGTTTTGTTTATAGCTTTATTAATTTCATAGGCGAATTGTATACAGTAATTATATTTGCTGTAAAAGTTTAATCAATATTATGTAGTCAGTAATAAATGTGACTTTAGACGTCGTTTGCTGACGATGTTACTTTGCGAATCTTTAAAAAAATAACGCCATGTTACCGTACATTCATTTAAATTTTATTATTAGTATAGTTAGCATCAGATTTAATAACAATTGGGTACAAAGTAAGTTTGTTATTCATGTCCTATACGAACAGGGATGTTAATGAAACTGAATACCCTGGAAAATAATAATGACTGTTTTTTAGAATACATTTTATATATTTTACTGGCGCTCGTGAGTTTCAAGATCAACACTGTCGTTAAAAAATGATTTAGAAGATTGTTTATGTTAAGCTGAACATGTATAATGTTGTATTCATTTAGGGAAGTCAAACAATCGATTCATAGTTGTAGCTAGTTCAGAAACTTAATAAGAACACTTTACATATAATGTTAGTTGTCAACTCGTACGTACTTTCTTTTTGTTGCTTCCTGGCACTAATAAGTTTATATAAATTATGGATTTTTACAGCTAACAGGTATGTAAGTTTGGTAAATTGACCTTTTATTGTCACTTGTACCTATTCCAGATATTAAACTGACACATCTCATGTTGATAATATTTACTTTCCTAGTATTATTATATAATATTAATTATTCTCATATGCTGGTGGAAAACAAAGTTATTATAAAATATTTACCTAGTAACAATTTTAGAATTATATTCATTTTTGTAATGAAATTAAAGGTTCATTAATTTCTAAAGATATTATGTTCTAATTTGCTCAATTAGGAATGTATGGCTGACGATGGCGTTTGAAATAAAAAAGTATAAATTATGTGTACTGTGAACGTTGCTGAGTGATAATATTGTAAACAAAAACATATCCTTTAGCCTGAGCATAGAAATATAAGAATTTTAATTAAAACATGTTTAAAATATAAATTTGAACGCCAGAAAAGCTTAAGTGATGTGATAATAGCGGATCATATTGTCGTATTTGTCACAATTATTGACAAATAACGACTTTACCATTTATGTATCTATTGTATGGATGTTACCATAAGTAATATAGGTTATGTATGTAAGACGCGAGGTAGAATATTTATATATATTCTATTTACATACAGTTATATAATTAGCAATGTAAGAATCATTGAAATGTTTAATCATTCCGTACTGCACTGTGGATCAGTAGTTGCACCAACTAAAATATATGCACATTTATTATACGTAAATGTTATTATAAATGTTATATCTAGTATATTGTATTTAATTAAATCAGAGTCGAAAAACCTGATAATATAAGGATGTATGTACTCAAGCCGTCTTCTACTCACGGCATATACTCTATATAGGCAAGCATTGTATTTGAATTACACGTGATTTCATTATTCTCATATACTATTTAATCGATGTTATATGTCGTGTTATATCAATATACCTATTTACTAATTCACTTTTATAATAATATTAATTATGTATTTCTGACGCAAGTTAAGATTAAGATTACAAAGCATGTAGCTACCTTTTGTTTCAATACAGTAGACGTTACATATCTATACCTATACATTATTAATATATAGAACATATATGTATTAATATTATTATACACTAATTTATTATATCAATACTTCTATTGGACGTGATGGAGAATTATGGGAACCAGTATCAAACATATCCGGTAGATGTTGCACGTTTTTTAAAAGCGTTGCACATCGAACCAATGATCATGCATATCAATTAGTATTAAGTCACTCTAATATAACTTTTATCTATCTCTGTTGTGGGTTGTTGTATAATCTTATATTACTGTTATATCATTATTCATTGTTGTAAGTATGGCGGCTTGTAAGACACTGTGTTCATTGTAATCCATCACGTAAGCTAGGCTAGCACGTACGGTGTGACATGACACGTCAACGTGACAATTCCGTCACTCTTATGAACTCAATGGGAATGTGTGTGGGTGTGCGTATGTTAAAACTATTGATTAGGGGTAGCAATGAATCTGTGACATTATCGTCATGAAATATCATTGAATATTATTTTACAGGAGAATGCGTGGGTTTGATAAAAGTGACATAATTGTCACAATAGGGAATGTTATTCCTGCATGCTAGGTTTTAATGTTTTTGCTAAAACATTTAAGCAAAATAGTAAGATATTTGTGACAGTTAACAGCAATAACGACTTACGTGTTGAGGATGACAGTTGATTGTGTTGGCTCTAGATAATCAGGTTTGGGCAATTTGTTGTGCCACGTAAAGACATTCTAAAATTGTATTTTGTATAGCGTTACTATTGCAGTCTGTGGTGTATTCGAGTTTATAGTCACATTTATTATTTAACTGTAATTGTAGGTAATGTAACTCTAATATTGAAAATTACCGTAAAATGTATTTATTTAATTTGGGTTTAAATAAAAATTAAATATAATTCACAGGCCCGTTTTATTTCTTTCCTGTAATTCAATCCGGATCCTATACCATTTACATAGATACAGTATGAAATGCGTAATAAATGAATAAAAGCTATTCAGCCGTTTTATATATATATCAAGCTATTTTCTGCACTTCAAAAACTGACTTGTCACTTTTTGAAGTGAAGAAGTTAAGAAGAAGTATACAGTTTTTACATAATTGGTACGATAATATATTATGGTAGTTTACGAATAATATCATGTTCACCAGACATAACAACGACCTGTTCATCACTGGATAATGATTGTAATATTATTAGACAACACGTTTTCATTGACAATTCTATTTTATCTGATACTATGACATTATATCCCTACAAGACTTTTCCTATAATTGAGGAGTATTTTTAGTCTTCCTTTATCAGACCAATAATGCAGCTTGATATATTTCCTATTTTCCTTCTCCTACGCTGGTTCCTTCGCTTACTACTGATGATGCTCTCTTGCTAAGATTCTGGTGATGACAGAAAATGTAGACATGGTTATTTTATCAGTGACATTAAAAGGAATAAATATCCCAAATACCCCCTATAAAATATCCCAAGAATAGGACAGTATGTTGAACAACTGTTACTGAATCAATATCGGGTATTTTTTACAATACTTATTTCTGCGTAATAATAAGTCTAATTGTAAAGAATACCACAACACAACTTTGTAGAATTCATATACTGACAAGTTATATAACACATACGGGGAAACAAAATAATAATTCAAATTCAAATTACGAGTATATAAATTCTAAAAGAGAATTTCCTAATTGGAGTTCGCATTAATTCTGTTTCTCATTGTATATAGAAATATGACTTCTTTATAAGTAACCTACCTGATTCATTTTCTGCAGAGAGACAGGCACAATGAATATTAATGACTCCTTTTATTAGAATTGAGTTTGATTGATTTAAATATGTTTAACCTCTTTTCTTTGTTTCGTTGATCTGAGCCTGATTGAAATTACTTTGAATTAAAAAAAATGATCACCTTTGTGTAGAACCACCCGTTAATTCAGAAAATACGGAAAGTAGTGGTATCTATTTTATTTACTTAAGGGTTATCTACAGAAGTGTAGTAAATAATAGATTAATTGAAGTTGACATGTACCAAAGTACAGAGATACACAATATTTAAAATTTCTTGTAGTATGATAGTAAAGGGTATAGGATAAAATAGAAAACTGGGTCGTGGTATGCCCCCAGATAGCCGTTTATAAAAATAAAAGCAGAATGAAACCCTCGCCATATATTATTATTAAGATCCGTTATCATTTCCGTTTTCCAAAGTATGTTTTAAAAAGGTTGCTTTCAGTTTGCATTATACTTGATACTATACTTTCAACATTTTTTTAAGGTGAAGAATACTTAAGTAATATTATTAGAACCCTTTTTATAACATCTGTATGCCTCTGTACCCTGCAATTTCGCTGCCATATCGCACAGGGGAAGCAAAAATACTGGAAACAAAAAAGGCTTGTGTGATACATTTGCACACACATGACTTCGTACAAAAATTATATAATGCTAGGATATAAGGGAATGTAAAAATTATCTGTCGCAGTCTAATGTGGACTCTACTGAATACCATGTATGTATGATTTAACACAAGACGCCAGTCTGTCAGCTGTCACGTAAACCAAAGTGTAAACTAGCGGGAACAAGGTAATTATTGATTCTCTTTGTACTAGGGGAATAACACGTACTATTGGAGCCATTATTCAGTAGTGACAGTCGATTTATCATCCTCTGCAGAGCTCGGCTTAGCGACGCAAGCCAATACAGATTCCACTAATCTTTTTCAAATGCGCTTAAGCTTTTTAGTGGTAAAACCACGGTACGAATTATTTAAAATAATCTAAATATAATTAAAAGTTAATTTACTTGTTATATTTATTATAACAAAGTATCAATTTTAATTTTTAATATCAAGTTGGGTTATTTTCTTAAGTATCAAACATTCGCTTTTAAATCAGAGATAATATTTAATTTATACATATATTATTATATTTATAAGTTACATATTTTTAAGTACTCTATGTAGGTTACCTATATACATTTCTTTCTCTGTATGAAAATTTCACACAAGGGATTAGTTACGGAACCATAAAAACGAAATGTTTCGAGCGTGTCTGCTAAATCCTACTACTATAAGAGATTTTCGTCCCTTTAATAAATAATGAGAGGATGAACGAGCACGCAAAGCAAAAACCAAAGGATCGGAATATTTTAAAAGTAAGCGATCTCTAAATCCCATCCCTCAGGATAGGTAAACAGCTCAACGTATGCAATGGAAAGAGACTAGATTTATGGTATACTACATTTCTAGTACATATTTACGGGGACAATTTGAAACATTACACCCAGACCATTCGCTCATTCACTATATTATGTATATATTGAATTTATGTTTAATGTACTGATTGGCAATTTAATAAATAAGTCGATATAATTTTGTACTGTGGGATATATATGGGTATACCTTATATAGCTTATCTCATTATGATGAAACGTCAAAGTATACAAGTAGATCTTATAATAATATTAATTTGTGATTGAAAAGAAGTCGAATAAATAAGGAAAAAATCGAAGGTAACTAAATGTATTCAAATCGAAGCAAAGTCTTACATTACATTTAATATGTAGGTACAACAAGGTAGAACTGAGAACCTTTTGAGGGACTTTTCTTGATTCTGAATGATTTGCTAATGTCATTAGGATTGAATTTATTGTCTCAGTTAATTAATTGAATTACTTATCTACCTATGTTTGTAATTTGATAATACTATTATATGTTACTTTGTACTTATTCTTTTTCTTTGTCAAAAACGAATTTCATTAATACGTAAAGTATAATTTAAAATACAGTCAAATAATCTTTGTCAGTTTTGTGTAGTTATCTAACTACGATCATAATAAAATCAATCAGAAACAAAAATTTAAATGTAATCCTCGGCTTTTTTATTCATTTTGGATCGGATATATTTTTCCATATATTGGTGAATATTCCGCGAACATTTTTTGGCATAACACCACTGGATATGTATTACATTTTAGTTGCTTGCGGAACGTGGTAAATTTGAACTCGCACTGTCGGGCGTCGGGGCCGCCGTGATTACAATATTGCTGGCATTTTCCGTCGCCTTCGCCCTGATGAAAAATATGTTTTTCCCTCGTTCGTGTATATTTTTTTTTTCAATTGCCACAACTACTGCTTCCGGCGATGAGGTCATTTTTTATATTTATCTTGTACATACTC